CAAAGTTGAGAGTTCTGGGCTAGAAGGGCCAGCGGTTGGATTTTGTGTAAAGCAGCTGCATTTGTTTGGTCTACTCCAGGCATAGGCAAACTTGGCCCTCCAGATGTTTTGGGACTACAACTCCCATCATCCCTAGCTAACAGGACCAGTGGTCAGGGATGATGGGAATAGTTAGTCTCAAAACATCTGGAGGGCCGAGTTTGCCTATGCCTGGTCTATTCCATTGGCCCCCATCTACTCACCCCAGCAGTACAGCTGCTGCTTTGAAAACATGGGTCTTTGTAGCAGAACAAAGCATACAAAAACACAGTAGCTTTTTATCATTTGCTTGTACCGTATTGCGAATGCCCTAGGAGTGCAGAATATGGCCACCCATAGTTATGGGATCTGATTGCAGATGAAATGATGAAAATGGAAATAGGTTGCTCATACCTTTGGGTTCACACACAGCCTATACAGCCTGTACAGCTCATACCTATTTCACACACTCACACACATACATACGTACTTGTGTTTGTATTGCTTTACCCATGCTGTAATTTATATGTCACGGGCAGCGCCTTATTTAAAGTTGTGACCTTAACTCTGCAGAAGACTGTGATAACCTGATGTACAAAGTCACTCCTGACAGTGGGTCTCTTTCCCCCCACCCTCTCTCTCTGGCAGCAATCAGCTAGTAGACTGCATTAAGCCTGCCTCAAGCTGTGACTTCTTTATTGCAAATAGAATTTCTTTTTACCAAATGTCAAGAGATCAACATGCATATAAACATGCAGACTGCATAGCAAAGGTTGCTACACAGCACAAATTAGGATTCCGGTCAGGCTGACTATTGCAGAGGCTTAGGGACCTGTGGCAGCTTTTTTTGGTGACCCTAGTAGCTAGAGTGACAAGGCATACGGACAAGCCTACACGCTACCTAGAAATGTTGTGTTGTCTGGGGAACAATGGCAAGCTCAAATGTTTCGTTGCTCTCCATTTAAGGCAAACTTTAATACTGTGGCTCTTTTAAGTCATGAATAGATAGTTCTTGAATACTGCGCATATGTTTTGTATTGGGAAAATGGCATTTCAGTTGACACGTTACCTTTGAAAATAGCTCCCTGTGAACATGAAGGATTCTCATTTACAAATGCTGCCAGTTTTAAAAACCCCCAATAATAATGTGTTATTATTCTTTCCCCCAAAAAGAAACCAACGTTGCTGTATTGGAGCAAAGCATCCTAGTTTTGTACTTGGGTGTTTTGTTTTTGCCACATATGTTTTTGGGAGGGCAAGGGGGTGTTAACAGGGAACTCCAACTAGATACATCGGGTACACACTTGGCAGTACAAGCTCTCAGTTTGTGGCACAAAACTATTGTGAAACTTTGGCTGAAGTTTTAAGGGGTTATGACAAAGTTTGGGTTGGGGTGTTAAACAGGACTGCTGTCTGGATATGTCTGGTACACACTTCTAAGCCAGTGTGGTATAGTGGTTAGAGTGTTGGACTAGGACTTGAGAGACCAGAGTTCACATCCCCACTCAGCCATGAAGCTCACAGGGTGACCTTGGGCTAGTCCCTTCCTCTCAGCCTAACCAACCTGAGAGAGGTGTTGTGGGGATTAATTGAGGGGAGGGAGAACCATGTAAAACGCCTTGAGCTCCTCAGAGAAAAGGTGGGATATAAATGCAACCAAAAAATAATAAAATAAATCTTGATGTTTGTGGCACAAAACTAGCACTTTGGTTTCATGGTTTGTGCTTAACACTTCTAGGCTTATATAGGGTCAACATCATTAATGGTCTCCAATTCCATATTGGAAGATTTTACTTAGAAGTTCTCTGTAGAAATGTCATGAGCTGGAGCCAAACTAAGATCGGAATCCTATACTCTTACCTGGGTGTAAGCCCCTTCTTGCTGCCCAATGGGACTTCTGAGTAGGCAAAGTGTATCCCTTGAGGTCAAAGAAGAAAGGGTTGGTTGGTTGGTTGGTTGGTTGGTTGTAAGTCACTTTGGGTTGCCTTAGGGCCAGAAAAAGCAAATAATAAATATAACAACAACAACAACAGGGGGAAGTGTTGACTTTCATTGAAAGCATTACCCAGAAAATCTTGAGAAAAGAGAAAAGAATGGTTAAGGCATTTAATTATACATTAAGAGATACTTGATTCTATTCCCTCCTTTACTTTATGAGCTTGGTGACAAGGTTGTCTAGTTCCATTAGCCAGAAAACTTTTCATCAACCTTCTGGATTTCTCCAAAGATTGAACAGGATAGAAAATAAGGACCCACAAGTGCATTGTCCATGTTATACAGCAGGGGTGGGCAACTTTTACTAAAAATAAATCATTGAAGGTTGCATGGGACAGTGGACAGCAAGCTGGGAAGCTGCATACATGGGCAGGTCCAATGGTGGGCAGACACCATTCCACTCTTATCTCTCCACATGGGGATGGAAGGTGGAGTTAGCAGGGTGTACTGGAGACTGAAGTTCACCAGGCCTCAGTTCACCTCTAGCCTTCATTGCAGTGAGTTGCCCAGCAGGAGCTGTCTGTAGTGCTGCAAGTGCTTGCCTTTCTATAGTGACTTTTGGGTAACTCAAGAAGGATAAAATTGTAAAATCCTGATGGACCCCTTATACTTTGCAGATGGACCTCTTGCTTTGTACAATAATGGACCATGAGGGATTCTAGAAAAAGGACTACAAGAGGCCCACCCATTTTTTAGTTCGGGGATGGGAATACTGTGGCCCTCCAGATGTTTTTGTATGCCAACTAAACTCAGCCCCAGCCGGCATGGCCAATGGTAAGAGATTATGGAAGTTGTAGTACAAAACATCTAGGGATAACCATGATGGAGAAGTTTGCATTAGCACATTTGCAGCCCCAGCACATGAGCAATATTCTTCCTGTCTGCTATGAAATAAATATTTAAGTTTTACAGCACACCTTTTCAGTCAACCTGCAGCAGTTATTTACTGAGTAGCTTGGGGCTTGTAATGAATACCTGTACAGGCCCTGAGCATCAATGACCTCCTTCCTAATGATCCTTAAGCTGAAAATTGAATTGAATTAAAAATCACCCCAAGTTCCACTGCAAAAAGTAAATAAATGCACATTCATTTCACCTGGAAGTCATAGGAACTACTTTCAAGTGTAATGCAGAAATATTTGAATTAATGAATATGAAGTAGTTTGTTCGAAGCACTGGAAGACTAGATAAAGTCAGAAAGTGGGCAGGTTGATACAAAGGAAGTTTGTCCTCTGGTATTGTAGTCCTAAGCCTCTCAGAGCCTTTAAAACTCTTTTGTTGTTAACAAATTACATTGGAATGACAGGACAGCAAGTGTGCAACATCTTCCAGCAATTCAGAAAGGGTCAGAGAGGGTCTTCTACCAAGTGGTATACAATCTCTACCCCAAGTTTTGGTTGATGGGGAGGAAAATACCACTGCCTTTGAATCCTACCCCTCTCTGGAATTTTGCCCTCCAAACGTCCTGTTCTGAATTTCAGTATAACTACAATAAAACAAAGTGCTACTTTTAAATATGTTGCACTTCAGAGCACATATGCATCAAAGACTCCCTACTTCACATGGAGACTTAAGTCGTTACCAGATTTTATTACTAGGAAACTACTGCATCTGATGCTGTTGATTTGTAGAAATCTTGATCCTGTTGCATCTTGCTGCTGGGATTTTAGTCAGTTTAATTGGGGAGGAGGTGGAGAGAGAGGATACAGATTGCTGAATGAACTACAAGATTCCAAAGATTGCATTGCTACATCTGAGTTTGAAAGTATTTGAATTGAATACGTTGACAAGACGAGAAATAAAATCAGTATTCTTCTTGTAACCCATTTTAAACAAGCTGTCAGACATCATTGCGGACTCTTTAGAAAACAGCTCTTAAAAAAAGAAAAATAAAAGCATAAAGATGATGTCAAAATATAAGCTCAATATCATACTTATCTGAGTATTGTGTCTTTTAACTCTTATATTTCTTTAGTAGATGGCAGATTGCTTTCAGATGCTGAACATGAGCATTTTTGCATTAGCTGTCCTTCAGACAGCTTTGATGTTATTTTGATGTTGGATAATGCTTCTAGAATATTACACTCCTGCTTTAAAGGAGGGTTGGATTCATAGTGATTTCTTCTTAGCTTAGGTGCGTGAAAACTGCTTATGGGCAGGATTCACCTAACCAGTTGAAGCTTCCCATTGGTCTGCACTTTGAGCCAAAACAGATCTAGCATGAGTTCTGCAGATAATGCAGAAGTCTTCCACAACTGAGTTCAGAAAGGGCAGAGCTCATCATGGAAAGGGGGGGGGGGATAAGTAAAGATAATTCCCTTTTACAGTGGTACCTCAGGTTAAGTACTTAATTCATTCTGGAGGTCCGTACTTAACCTGAAACTGTTCTTAACCTGAAGCACCACTTTAGCTAATGGGGCCTCCCGCTGCCGCCGTGCTGCTGGAGCACGATTCCTGAAGCAAAGTTCTTAACCTGAAGCACTATTTCTGGGTTAGCAGAGTCTGTAACCTGAAGCGTCTGTAACCTGAGGCGTATGTAATGTGAGGTACCACTGTACTTGGATACACTATGGATACACAGAGTGGCTGGGGCAACCCAGTCAGATGGGCGGGGTAAAAATAATAAAATAATAATTATTATTATTACTTCCTGTGCTCCCCAGTGTTTCATGAGAAGCTGCCATCTTGAAACATCTATAGTTAATGTGTTTGATCTGAGATTAAGTTAATCTGATCTGAGACTAAGGCTGCCAATTTTTCATTTTTAAAGATACTGGCCTCCTAGGTGGAGGCAGAAATTAAAGGTCAGGTCTTGGAGAAATGTGGATTTTATCCCATTCATTTTGAAAAAGTGGTGTGTTGAGTGCTGTCTTTCAGCCTACTTACGCCCCTTTGTTTTGCTTTTCATCGAATAATAGAATTGTAGAGTTGGAAGGGACCATGAGGATCATCTAGTCCAACCCTCTGCAATGCCCAACATGGGTTTTTTCTTCAATGTGGGGCTTGAACCCATGACCTTGAGATTAAGAATCCCATACTCTACTGATTGAGCTACTTGATTTGTACTTTACAGCTCGGCAGAACAGCATGGAGTAAACAGAAGTGATAAATGCCTTTATGTATATTCACTTGCACCCTCTCCATGCCTGCATCCCGTGTGGGGAGGTCTTGGACTCACTTCTTCCATGTTTCTACCTCATTGGCTCTGCTCCTTGAAGTCAACTTGCCCCTTGGCCATGCACCAGTAAAATGTTGGATTAATTGGTGCTGGCAATTGCATGATGAGGTTTCCCTGTGCAGGTGGTATTAAGATTCAGGTTTTACTTTCAGGTGCATTGGAATTCTACTCACTTGCGGGCTTTTGCTTCCTAGGCTGCTCACAAGTGGGTTCATTCTTGAGCTGATCGTAGCCATCCAAAGCGGGGAAAGAAAGTTCTTAAGTTAGCCAGCTGTTGCTTACTGGGACTGAACAGCTTGCCTTTTCTTTGCTGAAGCATTGACACTTAGCGCTCGCTCTGCAGGCAAACTTCTATTTGAGCTCACAATTTGATTCTGTTATTCAGATGCACAGGGCAGAAAATGAAGGGATTTCTATTTAAGCAGTGTGCTCCAGAGTCACAGATGATCTTTTTGATGTCTATATTTTGCAGATGGATTTTTTTCTTTTTTTACATTTTCTAGCACCAGCAGCCTTTGAGCAGCTCCCGTTATCTGAATTTGCTTTCATAACTGTTTATCTGCATTCCACCCCAAAATTTATTTCCCCCTTCAGTCGCTCACATTTTCTTCAAATCGCATTCACATTTTTATTCCATTTGTCAACTCACCAAGGGCCCCATTCCATGAAGTGACTTCAGTGGAAATTAAGAACGCCTAGCATCTTGGGGAATCAAATCTTTCTTTTTGTTTGTTTGTTTGTTTGTTTGGTCATACTGTATAAAGAATTTCACTCCCACGTACTATAGACAATACAGTAAACTCCTGGTAGGTTGAAGCAAATGGTTTTTCATCTTGAAATCTTTTCTCTTTACCCAGTTACTAAGATTAGCTGTGATTGCTGATTACAACCTTGAGTTGATTTTTATATAACTCGGGTATACAGCTATGATATAACAACATGACCAAAAAATTCCATTGCAAGGGAGTTGGGACCAGCTGACCCTAACCCTGCCAACCTAGCAGTTCGAAAGCATGAACTGCAAGTAGATAAATAGGTACCACTCCGGTGGAAGGTAAATGGCGTTTCCGTGCACTGGTCTGGTTCGCCAGAAGCGGCTTAGTCATCCTGGCCACATGACCCGGAAGCTATACGCCGGCTCCCTCGGCCAATAAAGCAGATGAGCACCACAACCCCAGAGTTGTCCACGACTGGACCTAATGGTCAGGGGTCCCTTTACCTTTATGTGAAAATGTACAGCCTCTTGTCCATCCTGACTCTTAGCATTCAGTTCAAATAGGTGACCCTGGGCCCTGTTATTATGAGAGGAAGAAAGAAATCTTTCCCTGTCCACTTTCTCTATACCATGATTAATTGTATACATCTCTGTCATGTCCTCCACTTCTTGCCCCTCTGCCCCTAACTAAAAATGTAACACTTCATCATAAGGCCAGTTTGGGAGTTGACATACATAAACTTTTTGTTTTTGACTTTTTCAGAGGCTTGCTTGCTTGTCTATTTATTGTGATCAGAGGCAGCTGCGTAGCCTTTAGTGATAAGCTGATGTTAGCTGTTTAACTTGTATTCCACCTTTCCTGCAAGGAGCTTAAGGTCACAGACATGGTTTCTCCAGCCCTCCCCATTTTATCCATGTGACAACCCTGTGAGGCTAAGAGACAGTGACTGGCCCAAGGTCACCAAATGAGCTTCATGGCTGAGTGAGGATTTGAACCCTGATCTCCCAGGAAATACACCCAGCCCGTGGCTTTGAATTTCCAACTACTTGATGATTTCTCGTTGGTTTCAAGTCTAGACACCCAACCAGATACAGCAATCTGTTCTGTAATCAGAATTTCCCTTTGTTTATCAATGTCAATTACAGCTATTACATTGATGTTTTTGCTGATGTGTTTCTCCAAGGGCTATTGAGTTTAATATCTTTCCCAAGATCCACCGAGATATTGGGTCCACTGGCAGGCTGCTGTGCAACACACTCAATTGGCAGAGAAAGACCGGACAAACCACCTTCTGTCTCCTTGAGACTGAAGAATTGCTGCATCTGCCATCTAGATGGGTATGTGTAGTTCATAGAAGGAGGAGGTTCTGGATGTTATTTTGGGCCCGTGAGGTTACAGATTTTAATAATAATAATAATAATAATAATAATAATAATAATTTATTATTTGTACCCCGCCCATCCGGCTGGGTTTCCCCAGCCACTCTGGGCAGCTTCCAACAAAGATTAAAATACATTAAAATGTCACACATTTAAAACTTCCCTAAACAGGGCTGCCTTCAGATGTTTTCTAAATGTCAGGTAGCTTTGCTTCTTGCAGTGAGGGAACCACCAGAAGGCCCTCAGCGCTACACCTCAGCGTCCGGGCAGAACGATGGGGGTGGAGACGCTCCTTCAGGTATACTGGACCGAGGCCGTTTAGGGCTTTAAAGGTCAGCACCAACACTTTGAATTGTGCTCAGAAACGTACTGGGAGCCAATGCAGATCTCTCAGGACCGGTGTTATATGGTCCTGGGGGCCACTCTCAGTCACCAGTCTAGCTGCCACATTCTGGATTAGTTGTAGTTTCTGGGTCACCTTCAAAGGTAGCCCCACTTAGAGCGCATTGCACTCTGTCCAAGCAGGAGTGCATTGCACTACTGTCCAAGCGGGAGATAACTAGAGCATGTACCACTCTGGTGAGATAGTCCGCGGGCAGGTAGGGTCTCAGCCTTCATACCAGGTCTAGCCGCCATCCATCCTCCAACCGCCTCCAGGGCACTCACACAGGACCTTAACTGCCTTCACTTGTTCCAATTTAAAAGAGGGGTAGAGCTGGGTATCATCCGCATATTGATGGACACCCAGCCCAAACCCCCTGATGATTTCTCCCAGCGGCTTCATGTAAATGTTAAAAAGCATGGGGGAGAGGACAGAACCCTGAGGCACCCCACAAGTGAGGGCCCAGGAGTCTGAACACTCATCTCCCACCACCACTTTCTGGACATGGCCCAGGAGGAAGGAGCGGAACCACTCTATAACAGTGCCCCCAGCTCCCAGCTCCTCTAGACAGTCCAGAAGGATGTTATGATTGATTGTATCAAAAGCCGTTGAGAGATCCAGCAGAACTAGGAAACAGCTCTAACCTTGGTCCCTAGCCCACCGGAGATCATCAACCAGTGTGAACAAGGCAGTTTCAGTCCCATGATGAGGACTGAATCCCGATTGGAAGGGATCCAAATGGTCTGCATCCTCCAGGAGTGCCTGGAGTTGTTCAGCAACCACCCGCTCAATCACCTTGCCCAGAAGTAAGCCAAGCTTTTTCCTCATTTAGGGGGGAAATTTTTGAAGTATTTTGACTCAACATGACGTGTACTGTGGCAGTGGGTTAACCGATCACTCATTTTCTTGCACTGTAGCTTTTACTGTTTGTTGAAGAGGGGTAATTTCCAAGGAGCCAAGCTCTGTTGAAAGGAGTGGCACTCTCATTTGGTACAGTTTTATTCCACTGCTAGTGTGGTAAAAGTGTTGGGGTTATTGAATTGGAAACTCTGGCAGCAGGACCCAACCCCTCTGTATAACCATAGCAGCTGGCAAGAGGACATAGCTGCTGGTCTGATCTCTGTTGAACTTAAGCAACACTGCTGTTCATGGCTATAGAGTGCTACTGTGGCTGACAGCTCAACAAAGATCAGGTGATACATACAAAAGGTGAATGGGGATTCATCTGGTCCCATAAAACTGCAGACTCTGGCTGGCTCCTCCACCTGATCAGCTCTCAGGCTCCTTGTTTGCTTTGTGGTTCAGCTCCTCATTTGCCACCTGATCACCAGCCATGACAAAAGAAAGTAGAGGTTTAGTGTTGAAGAGTCTATATTGTGAAATTAACAAGGAGTCGGGGTGAATGCCAGCAAAAAGAGCATCTGAAATGGATCCCCATGGGCCAGCTCCATACAGTTAAGCTATTACATTGCCCATATTCCATATGTATTCATTTCCCCTTAACCTGACTGAATTTATGTAGGAAACAAGATCCTTTCTAAAGTATTATACAGGTGCTTCCCCTGGGGGTTAAACGTCTCTATGGAGACAATGGCTTGGGGCATATTGCGCCACATACTTTTTACTGCCTACATAGCAAAACTGAAAGCAGCAGCAAGTTCCTTCACATGTCATGAAAATATCATGAGAGCAGACTTTAACTGGATTATCACTGTTTTCAGATGCAGGTTATAAAGTAGAAGCCTCTGAAGTCATAGTAACTGAGCACAGAATATGGTTAAAAGCTTGGGAAAGGCTGCTGCATACTGACACGATTCATCATTATCCATTGCTGAAAGATTGTAGGATAATGTTGTAACGGGAGACAAGAGGGTTCTTTGGGTTCAGAACCAAAGAAAACATAAAGTTGTTGAACTTGTGTTCTGGCTACAAATGGAACATTGCTTTGTGATTTGATTGATTGGGAATTTAGTAGAACACATGATAGTCAAACTCCAGCCGAAAAGGGGGCGGAGGATGACAATCTAATCAAAGCAGTGCATGTAAAGGATACTGTGTGGAAGTGGAGCAGGTGTTTTAGGGCAACAAAAAGTTATCCTGGTGTAGAGAACTTAGAGGCAGATATAACGATGACATTCCATACAGCTAGGTTCAAGGTCCATACCTGCCCAAAGCTCTTCTTTGTTGCCTTATTGGTATTTATGATGCAAGGTCAACTTCAGGGTTTTATCTAGTGCAGGATATGTCCTTGCCTAATGTAGTGGGGCTAAAATAAGGCATGCTACCCACACAGTCATGAAATTGAAAAAGACGCCTGCTTCTTGGGAGAAAAGCGATGACAAACCTAGACAGCATCTTAAAAAGTAGAGACATCACCTTGCCGACAAAGGTCCGCATAGTTAAA